GCGGGGAGCCGCGGGGACGAGTCCGCGGGCCCCGCCGGCAGCCGGCCACCCCGAAGTAGGGCCGGGCACCGAACACCAGCCCCCCCACGGCGCCGACCGAAACGCCCCAGCCCCACAGAGCACCGAAACACGCCCCGCCCCCCGGCACCAAGCCCCGGCGACCGGCCGCAACACCCACCGCGACCGCACCACCCAGGAAAAACACACAGGCGCATCCGCCGCGAGGCGCATCCGCCGGGACCCCCCCAAAACGCCCCTGACCAAAAGCGCAGCCCCACCCCACCAAGACCGATGCCAACAGCGCGCAATGCAACACACCGCGCACAGAATCAACCCCAAGAGCAGAAAAGTCGCCCGGCGCAAAACCGCAAGAAGAGCAGACCGCAGTCGCCGCAAACAAACCCCCCCCCAGCAGCCCGAGGGGCAGCACAAAGCCAGAGCCGGTCCCCCACCGGACGAAGCCAAAGCAGCAAAGCCACGTCTGCCGAAAACTAGAACAGATATCTGAATAAATCTGTAAATAAAACAGAGTGAGTGGCCCTAAAGGAGAGCGCAGAGAAAGGCCGCTCTGAGTTTACTGAACAAAACCTGCTACCGACCAGGTTAGCCCTGGGGAGAATATTGCTACTGCAACTGAAACACTGGTTGAGGAAACTTTCTTTGTGCAAAGGAAAATTCGTAGTTTCCAATATTTCAGGTATAGAAAACTTCACTTTTCATTAAACCTGCTTTGTGAAAGTAGATTTCAGTTTATTCAACTGTTTTCTGTTGTTAAGTCATAGCTCCAAGTTTGCTGCTCTCATATCCTTTTAGCACTTGAATTGAAACAACCAGCAGGATCTAAAGCTGTATTGGTGCAGGGTTTTTTATTGTTCCTTTTATTGTTTTAACGGGCGGCGCTCTTACTGTGGGCCTGTTCCCTGAAGTGTTTACATACGAGTATTAATGTTGGTTTTTATTTAACTTTCAGAATGGTTAATAAGGTTCTTTGTGAATATTCTAACTTTTTATGATAAAGAAAACTATATATTTTTTCCTTTTTATTAACATCCTGTTCTGCTGCTGAACTCTGTTGTGCCCATTACCAAGAATCAACAATCTAGAACAGAAAAGACCTGCACTACAAAGAGACCATAATGTTATAGCTTAAAGAGGAGAATATACTGAGGGCGGTTTTTATTGTTGTTATTTAACTAATGGAATGGGATGCATTTTAAAGTGTGGTTTATCCTCCTGCTGCCCAGTGATCACAGACATTATAATAGCTGTTCTGTGTTGCAGACCAAACACCATTCTGCGATTACGATTCAACCACTTTGCCACTGAATGCAGCTGGGACCATCTCTACGTGTACGACGGCGACTCCATTTATGCCCCCCTGCTGGCTGCTTTCAGGTTGGTATCGTTGAATGGGATTTGGGGTGGGGGGGAGGCTCTTCATGTTAAAATTCTGTTTAGTTGTACTTAAATGTTTGGGTTGAATATCAGTACTGCACATATGGATTATTTTAGTTAGATTAGATTAGATAGAACTTTATTAATCTCACTATGGAGAAATTAACTCGTGATGTCGCTTCTTATAAAAAAAACAGAAGGTGCACAAAGAAGGAAAATGTGTCATTTATTTAATGTATCTAAATCTAGATACTTTTGCTAAATTAACATTTACAAAAAAATAAGCATTTGGATTATAGAACAATACACCTTTATTGTGCATTTTAAATGATAAGCAAATGGGAATATGGAGGGGGGAAAGAATCACATACAAATACATCAGACGCCCCCCCCACACACACACACAAACACACACATAAATTTGTACCTAATTTTTTCCATATTCTTCGAAATTTCTCTTTCTCAGATTGTGTTTTACAGATAAATTCTCTTCACTTTAAGCCGATGTCATAGGGTTTTGTTTCTATTTATGTTCAGGTGAATTTAATTAATTTAGTTATGTTCATGTTAACTAGTCTCTTTTGTGTGTATTTGATATTTGATATTTTTTTGTGTTGTTTATTGTTTGTCAAAATTGTCTGAAATAAAATTCCTATTCAAATTCAAAGCCCAATTTGTGGTTAAAATTGGAAAATGTTGTTAAAGTCCAATGCAGACGTCTTCGCTCCTCACTTTTGAGGAAAGCAATTTCAAAGGAATGTTAATTTGTAAAATTGAAATAGAAAAAACAAAACAAAAATCAAACTAGAAAGTCTGTAAGAAAAAAAAAACAAAAACAAAAAAACAAAAATCAAAAACTAAAACAGCAAAGTTAGTCCTAAAATAACTTTTTTGATTAGGACGATTTTCTAGTCAGCATTTCTTTTTTTATTTACAAAAGATGTTCTTTGCTTGAGACAGTATTTTTTATAGTATTACCATTTATTATTGTCTAATAGTAATGGTTCAATGCATATAATAGAGTTTGGCCCATATGGACCTGTTTCATACTACCTGTAAACACTTAAAGCATCAACATACCTCGTCTTTTAAATATAAAAAAAACTCATAGCATGCTTTTATCCAATCAGTAGCATCTAATAAGTGCTTGAAATGGAAGGAAAGTTTTTAATGTACCTTCATGTGATTACAGTGGTTTGATTGTTCCTGAACAATATGGGAATGAGACGGTTCCTGAGGTGGTGTCTCAGTCTGGCTACGCCCTGCTGCACTTCTTCAGCGATGCCGCCTACAACCTCACAGGCTTCAATATTTCATACAGGTGAGCTGCCTTCTA